CTAGTTTAGTTTCCTGAATAGCAAGAACATCTAGGCACTTATCGGCAAGCAAAATTCTAATTTCATCAATATGCGTGGAGAGTTTGTTAACATTTAGTGAAGCTAACTTAAATCCTCGTTTTGAAGGAATGTGATTGTTAATAATGGATCTCTGCTGATCCAAAATTGATTGAGTCGATATGCAATTATTGTAGCTATTGATATGAGATTCATAACAATCAAGACGATCGGCATTCGAGGAAACAGTCCAATGATGATTAGCTTCCTTGGCTGCTAAACATGATGCAAAGTTTTTATATAATAGTTCGTTACCTTGTTTGGTTAAATGTAAACCACCTCTGTTTAAGACTTTCTCCGTGATGTTGGAGTGGCGAACCGAAGACCATTGAATGGTTTAAGAGCGAGCCTACTTGTTCTTACTGTAATTCTTTAAAAAGGCGATAGGGTGTACAGTACTTAATTTTTGTTGTTCTAATGTCAAAAACAGTAGAATCCCGATAACTCGAACTCCCGGCTAACTCGAACTAAAACCCATTATGCGCCTCCAAGAGAGGAAATACGGCTAAACGAGGTGATACAAACCTTTTTCAAGGAGTCCTTTTTCCCTTCAATAACACCGAGAGCTGAGGAGAAATAAAGCAAACAAATCTCACTTTCCCAATCAAGAAAATGTTATTGGAAAAGATTAAAAAGCATCTTCAACAAGTTGTATTGACTACCTTGTGGGTCTTCTGTGGAGGCGTGTGTGGCCGAGCGGTTAATACCTCGAACTCCGTATCTGGAGGTCCGGGGTTCGAGCCTCGCCCGTCGCGTTGTTTTTCTTAGACAAGGAACAGTACTCCACTTTGTCTCCCTTCACACAAGTGTAAAATGGATACCGGCGTTATACTGCTGGGGGTGGGGGGAACCCTGTGATGGACTAGCATCCCGTCCAGGAGGGAGTATCAATTCTCCTAGGCATGCTATATGCTAAGGAAACTGCGATAAGCTCCGGCCGTTCGGGCCTTTGGCTCATGTACGCCTTTACCTTTTTACTACCTTACCTTGTGGGTCTTCTAATTGGAGAACCGCCACACAATCCGTGGGTTCTTCTGTCAATGAATTGTTGTTCAAGTCTTGTTTCTGTTTCTCCGCAATAAGTTCTATCAGGTAATGCCCCCTTTCGCTTCTGTCCACGAGGATTAACTAAAGATTAAAAAGATATTATTTTTGTTGAAAAACTAAGATCGATAGACGGGTTGACTGAAACTCCTGAAAGTATTCGGAGTGGCGGGTCACTGAATGTCCGGAAGATGGGGCTGGCTGGTTTACGGTTGTTTCGCTGCAAGTCGATTCGTTGGATCATAAAGTCGATTCGCTGCAATCAGCTGTTTGTATTAGGAACCGTTTTAAAACAATTCTTCGGAAAGGGCTTGAAAAAAAAAAAAATACCGCAACATAGATTCTTACCTCGTCTTTGACAAAGGCTAACAGTTCCTTGATTAAGTTAGGATTTGTTTTGAAGTCAAACTGATAGTAACCATCAATCCATTCGGATAGCAGGTCCAATGCGCGGTAGCGAATTTGAAGTTGATGGTTGTAAACTTGTCCTGAAGAATCCGTTCTGACGAGATAACACAAGTATCGTTCGTTATTTCAAGTTCATTTGTCAACAAAGCCATACCGTATTTAATCGATTAAACGCTGCCCTCGAATAAACGCCGCAGATGGAAGCAAAATTACCAATTAACCCCGCACCTAATCAGAAGAATTTGGTTTTACTCGAGGATAATAAGAAAAGCCACGGTGCAACTTGGTAATTAACACCATCCAGACCAGACATTTACAATTCTATCTCAGCGAAATTAGAGTGACACTGGAACTCTCAAATTACATAATATTTACAAACAATTTACGATGAACTGTTGTCAGTGATTTTAAAAAAGTGATTTCGAAAAAAGTCCCGTCCTCGAATAAACGCCGCATTGGAAACGTAAATAAACGCCGCGGCCATTAATCGAATAAATACAGTATATTCATGAGCAGTTAAGTTAAATCCCCTATGTAACCATAATAAAGGCAAAAGTTAAAAGTAAAGGTACATCGTTTCTATGGAGACAAAAGAGACCTTAAGATCGAACGTTTGCCATCCTACCGCAGACGGCAAAACGGGGGTTTGCAGTTAGCGATTTCACGTTAGCCATCTGCCCATATTTGGTACTTAAGGTTCGCGGGTGATAGCTTGCGGCTGCCATGTTTGTTTGTTTGTTTTTTTTTTCATTCGTTGACTTCTATTTTAGCTGAGAAATCGTCGTCATAATTACTTTTTGATGAGAAACAATTCAATTCAGGCGCTTGGAAGTAGTGGGCGCAAGAAAGGGAATGCGCCGTTCCATTGGGCACGAGGAGTTGCCGAAATTTCATACCGAAATTTTTGTTGAATGGAAAGCGCTCTCCCTCCTATTTTTTAAGCAGTTATTGTCAATGCTTTCGCACCTATCTCGAGGGCTCTATCAGCAGAGATTAAACATAATTGTCCTTTCCACATTTTCGGTTTAAAAGCACAGTTCTCGATACGAGTGAATCTGATTTTAGGGCGCGAGTCGAAGTGTACCACAATGATAAAACTTGGTTGAATACACCGAAGGAAGTCTCCTGAATGGCTTCAAAAAACGTATGGTGTACATCTATCGTATTTTTTTTTACCTGTGCTACTAAAAATAAGTGAATATTTAACGAAGCAAACTAGAAATTTCAACTTCAAAGTAAGGATCGGTATTTCTCGCTTTTTTTCTAATCTAAATAGTGAAACTATTTGGGAGCTATTATCATCTTTCGTGAACGAGAGTCTTTGTTCCTCTGGTGAAGAAACTAAAAATTTTAAAAACTCGTCAGTTACTAAGAATGAGTATAAGCCTTTTAATGGGTATTTGCGTCTACAGGATGCTAAGAACTGTAAGAACATCAAATGTTAAATGCATTTACCTGGTACTTGAAAAGCATTGAAGAGTGAGGAAAATACTTAAAGCTATTGTTTTACTGAGATATAATATTGTAACGAGAAGTTTTTTTCATTTGGCGCACGTTCGCTACTTGTTTGTAATGTTAAAATAATTCGTGAGCCTGATATTAACAATCTGTTTTACGAAGAATATTGATCAATGATCATCAGGGTTTTTTCAACATACATCAAATTAATTGGAAAGCTACGGTTTTAGGGATGCTTTCTCTCACTTGCTGTTTCTCTTAATCCACCTATTTATTGACAAAATGGATCGGTAACTGCATGATTTTTTACTGAGGTTGTTGACCAAGGGCAGTGGTATCTTCCTACAGAGGTCAAACACCGAGTTTCTTTTCTCCGAGCGATCGTCATAGTATCAGCTCTTTGTTTTCTGCTTCACCTATATCCATTAGACTGGCTAAGGCTTTAAACAACAATTGGTCATTAGTATCCAAAAAGGAAGAGATATTGTGCGAAAGATCATACGTACAGTTCCAAAAATCTTTTCGAATGTTACCAGAAAAAAACGGAAGAAGAGAAGATCATCTGGCACAGTGCCAGCAAGAGGAATCTGAGACATGATTATGAACTTTTGAACAACGATCAGCTAGTTTTGAGAAAAAAAAATGTAGAAATGAAAACGGACGCAGAGTTCTAACGCAGATCTCAGGATGACGGAAACTAAAGCCTTGAATTCAACCTTTGTCGTTAACTGTATACTCAACGCCTTTTTGTCTTTCACCGCCACCGCGTTGAACATCATAACGCTACAAGCGCTTCGAAAAACGTCGCCGTTGCTTAAGCCTTTAAAAACATTACTCCTGAGTATGACTTTTTCAGATCTGGGAGTTGGTTTACTTGTCCAACCTCTGTATATTACAGTTCTGGCACAGTGCGCAGATTATAAAGTGATGACATCGCACACATGCAAGAGTGCTCTTAACAATACTTTGAATACTTCGTTCTCCATCGCGGTGAATTTGTTTTCCACTGCCTCTTTCTTAAGCATTATTGCTTTAACTCTCGACAGATTCCTGGCAATTCATCTTCATCTCAGATACCAGGAACTTGTGACCCACAAGCGTGTTATTGTTGCAGTAATCTTAACTTGGGTGTATAGTGCATTCGTTTGCGTATCATTACTGATAACAGAAAAAGTTCGTGTCATTATTTATACAATTCTTGAACTCTTGTTCGTCATAACTACAAGCTTGCTTTACTGCAAGATATATGCAACCGTTAGACGACATAGAAATCAAATTCAAGTACAACAAGTCATCGAAGCTGAACAGAATGGAGAATTGACAGACAGGGCAAGGCACAGAAAAACGGCAGTCGGAACATTCTACGTGTACATCTTGTTTTTGATTTGTTACGTGCCATTTTTCTGTATCCATGTTGCTTCAGTGGTCTATATTGAATCTACCGTATGGTCATGACTTGCTAGCATATTCTATGTTGTAATAAGTATATGTTACGACACATTGTTGTTGTCGGATGACTGACTGACCATTCCTCAATAAACTATTTCACATTGAATGTTTCGTGATAGTGTAGTCAGAATCTAGGAAAGCTAATGACTGTGTTGTGGAATGGGTATTTATCTCAGTGTATTATGTCACTTGTTGATGGTTGTATCAACGGCATCAAACTGCCACTTTTTCTTCGCATTTTTTTGCTGGTTTTATTTTTGGGGGAAACGTGAAATTACAACCCAGGCAGTTTGGATCGATGCCTCCATTACCTTTTAGGTAGTTTACAAGAGGGACATACGGCCATGATGGCTGATATAGGCGACTTTTTTATGGAAAATGATTGTTTAATAGGTTTCCTTAATATTGTCCAGTGCCGGATCCAGGAGAGGCCGACCCCCCCGTCTCCCCCTTCCCCTATTTTTAGACCAAAAATTATTTGAGACCGAGCCCATCCTTATCTCAGGGTCTGGATGACGTTACGCTGGCCGCTTCGTTAAGAAAGCGGGGTTCGGACTCATAGGTTGTTTACCATTTACATACAGTGCAAACCGGTCGGTTCACGGTTTCGGCAAAGGGAAAGCAAAATTCAGCACTGGTAAATTTCTTCCCGGAATCGCATTTGCACCTGCACCTGTACCTGCACCTATCACTTAGTCATGGTGACCGTTGGGGCGCCACGGACCTAAAAACCCTTTCCCTCCATTTGATTAGCATTTTGTTTTCAGATTTTCTTAGGGTGTCGCAAAACTTCAACCCTGTCCACTCAGAGATGTTATTCTCCCAAAGCTTCTTTTGTCGGCCTCTTCTTCTCCCTTCTTGCACAGTTCCTTGCGTTTAACATTTGTACAAATAAGATCCTATTACCGAAAACCGGCCACGAAGGCCTGAATATTGTATCAGAGATAGCTTTGAAGAAATGGAATACGAATTTCCTTTTGGAGCATTCCGTTCGGAAAAACAGGACTGCCTTTTCAGATGTTCCGTTACTCCCGGAAATTTTCCGCCGGAACGACTCAAAAAGTCGTGTTCCATATACTTCCAACTAGATTTTCCGTAACTTTTTGTAAATGGTAAATAACCATAGACACCCCAAATCCTCGATTGAATCAAACTCTACTTTTAACAGGCTCACCTGAGAGAAGCCGAACATTTTTCTCTGATGAAGGAGAACAGCTCTTGCGCTGTTGCAATGTAACGGTATGTACACAAAAAATAACGCACGTAGGCCTGGCTCATGGCGTGTCTGAAATGAGAAGAAAATCGGACAAAGTCATGACACAAGTAGTTGAATCATCCGCTTTCTTAGCGACTGGAATGATTTTCACAAGGTTAAGCAGCTAATGTTTATACTCTGAACCAGAAAATTAACCAAAGGCTTTATAACCTAAGTGGGCTAGTTTAATTTCAATTTGCATGTGCCCTAAATATATACAAATGCTAAATTGACTAAAGGTCATGGTCTTGTTCGATTTCCGCCTCGTCGTCTTTTACATTGTCTTATGAGCTAATAATACTTTCAAAATCTTTGCTTGAAACGGCACTTCAATTATCGGAGGAATCAGATGGTTCGACCACACTTCTGTCCACCATCTTGGTTTCGTTTTGATGGCATTTATGATTATGCAATGGTGGATCACGTGATCATTTATCTGTCAAAACGAAAACAGTCCGCTTTTGAAAAATTTTGCTTGCAAGAACTGAAAGAGCATATTAAAATTTTCAAACTGTCGTTAAATCTTTCCCTTACGCATTTAAGGCCTCAAATTGTCTGTTATGAAAAAAAGAAACTTTGTGCCACGCTATGATTAAGGAAATCTTTTAATCAGTGTGAAAATTTCGAACTTCCTACAACGATTTGTATGGAAAACCACTCAAGCGTGACTGAGTGGCAAAAGCTGTTTTTCCATACAAATCCTTTTAATTTTCGGCTGATGCAATCCCTAATATGGAGAAATATGGCTGAAAATCTACCGGTTACCCAATCTTAATACGTCTTTTCAGTTCCTGCTAACAGAATTTTCCAAAGGCGACCTGTTTTCCTGTATACAGAAAGTTGATCACGTGTCCAACTATTGAACTAAAAATAAATCGGTTCGTGAAAACGTAGTGACACTAACACAGGGGATTTGCTCGCTCATGCTTATGGGCTCCTAGTTAGACGCAAAAGTAAAAGTCAAATTTATGCACCTGTCAAACAGATAGGAGAATAATCCGAGTTTCGATCCTGATTGAAGTGAGGGGCCGATGAAAGACTCATCGACGATATCAGCGCTTTCATTCGCCCTTTGATTCCATATTGGAGAGAAATTTAACAAGGAGTTGTTGAACTCCGGGTCTAGCGTGACACATGATTTGTTGTAGCTGCAAAGAAATAGAAAAACAGTTAGTTATTTAAAGATACTACTCGTTTAAAACATAGTTTTTGGCAGGGCTTTATGTAAACAGGTGCCGGCAGCTTATAAAACTGCTGTGGTTAAATATAATGTCCACTTTCAAGAGAAAAAATGAAACCGAAAGTTTTCGACCAACAAATTCATCTTCAGGGCAGAAAAATCTTAAGTGAATATTATAAAAACGGTTGTCTATTCCATGTTTAATCATAACGATAAAAAAATTCTCAAATCTGATTGGTTATCAAATGTCCTAATTTCAGCAATAATGTAATAGGACAGTACGCGTCATACCTAAGTAATTGGACAGTAAACGCCATCGCGAGCGCACTTGAATGGGATTTTATTTCTGCTTCTACCAAAAACCTCTAGGAATATCCTGTGTTTTAATTTAGAAAAGCTTACCACGTGACCAAGTTTGTACCCCTTTGCTTGTCGCCTACTGTTCATTATTTCTACACATAATTAAGTAGTTTCACGCAATTTTTTTTCCATATGAATTTTCTGAGCTGTTTTTATCTGCTCATTTTCTATTTTGAGAAATTCTCAACTTGAATCTGACGTGTGCCGTTTGCCGTATACGTGAAACTTAAACTCTCTTTTCTGATCATAAGCTCCTCCGCTTATAAACCTTTCTAAAATGCCTTACGAAGCCCAGGGCTTATAAATGGCAATGTACGGTAGTCCGTGGTTTTCAAATCATTTTCCCACAGAAAACTAAAGCTAAAAACTCCGCCGTGTTTTATCAGATTTAGAGACACATAAGTTTTCTTCGTATTTCTTTATGAATTAGTTCACGTGTTTTAGAACATTCTTGAAACTGAAGAAGAGCATTTCTTGTTCTAGTAATGCCGCATACGGCATTTCGAGGACAGTACCTAAACTAGACGTCCTAACTCCAAGCCACGTAAATGATGTCATTGACAAAGCTTCTTGTTTTAAATTCAAACATCATTTCGTTCTTCTTACCTCACGACAAACGCATAAAGCCGGGACGTATCCACCCCAAAGCGCTCGGCATAAACATTCTAAACAAAAAGACATAAAAAAAAGTGAAGACATAACGTACGCTAGCAAAACAGTATCAACATCCATGAATAATGAAGTTACAAAACAATCAGTTAGGCTATAAAAGTCCTTGTTGAACTTACCCGTAATTGACGTTGCACGTGTTTTAAGTAAACAATCTTTTTGTCGCTCTCTTCTATCTCGTTAACTAATTTAGACGCCAGATCTTTCACATCTGTAAGATAAAAAGATAAGTGTTTCATTGCTTCCGGTTTTGTGTACTTCCGTCAGACAGGGCAAGGCACAGAAAAACGGCAGTCGGAACATTCTACGTGTACATCTTGTTTTTGATTTGTTACGTGCCATTTTTCTGTATCCATGTTGCTTCAGTGGTCTATATTGAATCTACCGTATGGTCAGACTTGTTGTATTACGCAATGACGCTCATATTTCTCAATTCGTCTCTTAACCCTGTGATCTATTGTTGGAAGATCAGACATATTCGGCAAGCTGTTTTCGACATAGCTCGGAACATCATTCCAAATCGTTTTCATTAAACGACCAGTTGCCTTTGATACCACGAAATAACTACAAAAAAATTTAACCGCGGCTTTTTCGGCTGTTTCTTGATGTTGCAAAAACTAGGAAAGCTAATGACTGTGTTGTGGAATGGGTAGTTTTCTCAGTGTATTATGTCACTTGGTGATGGTTGTATCAACTGCATCAAACTGCCACTTTTTCTTCGCATTTTTTTGCTGGTTTTATTTTTTTGGGAAACTTGAAATTACAACCCAGGCAGTTTGGATCGATCCTTCCACTACCTTTTAGGTAGTTCACAAGAGGGACATACGGCCGTGATGGCTGATAAAGGCGACTTTTTTTATGGAAAATGATTGTTTAATAGGTTTCCTTAATATTGTCTAGTACCGGATCAAGGAGAGGCCGACCCCCCCCCCCTCTACCCCTATTTTTAGACCAAACTGAGACCCGAAGATCCAAAAAAAATTATTTGAGACCGAGCCCACCCTTATCCCAGGGTCTGGATGACGTTATGCTGACCGCTTCGTTAAGAAAGGGGGGTTCGGACCCACAGGTTGTTTACCATTTATATACAGTGCAAACTGGTCGGTTCACGGTTTGGGTAAAGGGAAAGCAAAATTCAGGGCTGGTAAATTTCGTCCCGGAATCGTGTTTGCACCTGCACCTGCACCTAACCCGTAGTCATGGTGACCGTTGGGGCGCCACGAACCTAGCAACCCTTTCCCTCCATTTGATTAGCATTTTGTTTTCAGATTTTCTTAGGGCGTCGCGAAACTTCAACCCTGTCCATTAAGAGATGTTATTCTCCCAACGCATCTTTTGTCGGCCTCTTCTTTTCCTTTCTCGCACCGTTCCTTGCGTTTA